TAAAATTAATATCAAATTTTTATATATATTTTTATATATATTTAATATAAAAAATACCTTTTAACTTGTATTTTAAATGCATGCGTTAGAAAAATTATTAAAGATATGGAGATTGTGTTTTCCTCAGCAAGAAGTGTTGCCTTCAGAATGTTGCCCGTTTCACGACCAGATTCAAAGCATATATGCGTGATGACATGTCAAGCGCAGAGCCTTGGATGAACAGTTGCCGCACCGGCCGAGGGCTCGATTTTCCGCCACGGAAATTTCTTGGTATACATCAACCGTCGCCAGTCGTTATCTGTTTGGGCTCTACTTTACTTCTGTTCTAAAGAAATCTGGGAGTGGCCTTTTTGAGCTTGTGCCAGTGATTATAACATAAAAAATGAAAAAGCAAGAATTGCGTTGGTAATAAAACAAAACAAGCTGACAAGGATAAGGAAAATATAAATCTGATTGGATTTGGTTGGAGCACATACGCAACGCAGGCTCTGCTGTGACTCTTTTTCTATGTTAATCTCTTTATGTCTTAAAATTATATTAAATTTTAATTAATTTAAAATTAAATTATATCATATTCATATTAAAAAAAAGTTTTTTAAATATTTATTTTTTTATTTATAAAATTTAAATTTAAAAATTTATTTAAAAAAAATCAAACTAGTTTTACTCAAATCAATAGTATCCCGAGATAACTATGATAATTAAAGAAAAACGAAATTCACAAATAAAAAAAGAAAAAGTAAAATCTCAAACACACCTTAGTAGCCAAAACTCGAACAAAAAAGAAGAAAAAAGGTTAAACCTTTTTTTTGGTCTATCAACTATTATATGAACTTGTGATTGAGTCTCTCAACTCAAAAAATATCTAATTGGGTCCTTACTATTTACCATTTTGACCCAAACTTAATCCTTTCATTAAAAATCTACTTATGTGTCCTGTTAACTAACAAAAATATAATGATATGTCAAAATATTAAATCCACATGAAAAGATAGCATGACAAAAAATAATGATTTAGAATTAAAATTTCTAAAAATTCTCCTTTTTCTTCCTTTTTCCCTTTTTCTTCCTTTTTCCGTTTTTCCTTCTTATTCCTTTCCTCGCCTTCTTCATCAATCAATTTTTCATATCTTCATTAAATAACAAAACCCACAAAAACACATTTTTTTTTAAATTTTTTGTCGAAGAACCTAGGTGTGTTGGGTTCAAAGGAATCCAACACTTGGGTTCCTTCGAACCAGTATCGAGTTTCAAAGAACCCAATGCTTGGGTTTGATCAAACCCAGTGCCTATGTTTTAAAAGAGCCTAAGAGGAAAGAGATGGAAAAAGAAAGAATTTTTTATCATATATTTTATTTTTTCATGTCACTAGTTTTTTGCCATGTTGTCTTCCACGTGTGTTAACATTTTGACATGTCAACATGTTGTTGTGAATTAACAAGATACGTCATGAGATCTTTAATAGAAAGACTAAGTTTGGGTCAAAATATTAAACAATAAGGATCAAATCAGAGATTTTTTGAGTTGAGAGACTCAATCGAGATCCATATAATAGTTGAGGGACAAAAAAAAAAGGAGTTTAACCCAAGAAAAAAAAAGAGTAAAATTCAGCACATGCTACCTCTAAACGCACCCCACATAAACATAAAGAATAAGATTTAAATGAAATTTATTAGAGAATTAGGTATGTATAAGTCTTGATTTTTTAAAAAGTTAAAATTTTAATTGTAAATAATATTTATTTTATTTAAATAGAATTTAATTTAAAATTTAAAATTTTATTTTGTTAAATATTAATATAAATTTAGAAATAAAGTAATAAAAATTATAATTTATTTTTAAATTTATATATTAATATTTAATAAATTAAATTTTTAAATTTTAAATTAAATAAAATGACATCATTTTAAGAATTAAAATGGGAAATGCTTTTTGTACAACCTTTTCATCTCACATTTTTGTACAATTTGACGTATCAGTAAAATAATTGATTTTTTTAATTCATGTGGAACCCATGATATTGAATGCATCCATTCATTTAATGACATGTGGAAATTGTATAATAAGATAAGATAAAAAGGTTGTCCAATAGCACCACCCAATTAAAATTGATATGAAATCTTCTCAACTTATATTATGTTCTATCTATTTTATAATTGTGATTAGATTAAGGGCTTGTTGGTATAACGGTTAAAATTTAGTGGATAGCAGATAACAGGTAATGGATAGTGGTAGTGGGTGGCAGTAGAGGGTGGCGGTAGCAGATAGCGGGTGGCGGTAACGATAACGGGTAGTGGGTGGCGGTTAACGAATAGCGGAGGGTGGATAATAAATAACGGAAAGTGAGTAACTGATGGTAAATAACGGATTCGATAAATATAAATGTTTGATTATACAATTGTTAGCGGTTGTTATTTAACATTAAATGACTAATAAAGATTTGTTTAAAAACAAATTAGTGTATTTTTTAAAATATTTTTATTTTTATTATTAAAATTATTA